TTATGAAAAATTCTATTTGTTTTGTAGTTGAGTGGTTAACTGAGCTCTTGAGGTCGGTTTAAGCAATATAATATATCGTTATGGTTTTATAATTTCACATTTAACCGCATACATTGTATCCAATATTAGTGCGTAACAATAATGTTATATATAGCAAAGTAGTTAGTATGTTGATTTATTAAGATAATTTAGATAATTTATTAAATTTATAAATTATATATATATAATTAAAAAGCGATTAAATGAATTTAAGCTCAGATAACCAATAAAACGTACATTATTCCATATTGCTTGGAAGTTGAAATACATTATATAATATAATAGTTGGGATTAAATTATTTTAATTAATTGTTTTATTATATATATAATATATATATATATATATATATATATATATATTTGTTGCGCGAGAACTATAAACAATTTTTTAAGGTGGATGAGTCTAAAAACAATTATTTTAATTGAATAAATACTTTTTATCGATTTTAGGATACTACAGTAAAAAATAACATTCGAAATTGGTCATAAAAAAAACTTCAATAGTACTTAAATATTAGTGTTATTATGATGTGTAATTTATTTTTAAATTTTAAATTTGTAAAACTATATCCCCATTAATTCTTTTGCTCACAACGCATATATAATCATTATATATCTCAAGCATGTTTAAAATAGCTGTGCTTTCCTCTGAGATGGCTTGTCACCATTGGAAAGGACTATAAATATATATAACGTACCGATATATGTATTTCTTATGTGGGAAAATTGTGGTTGTTAGACGAGCACGTTTACCAGTAAAATATATGAATATACATGTGTATAATATTATCTAGTATATACGTATTCTACTCACGACATGACACACCCGCTGAAAATAATATGCCACCTGACCCCCATTTGGTTAATGAAAACACATTTCCGGAAACTATCGATTTGTTCTTCAACAGGCCGTCAAAATATTTATTTGCCACTCTACGAAACGTGGATATATCTATACATGGATATTATATTATGACACGAGGACATAATTATTATAATATTATAATGTTATGAAACGAACAAAATAATAGTTAATGGAAAATGTTAAAGGCGTAATAATTATTACTGTTATTCGACCATTGTGTACTGTGACGCGTACGCCTTAAAAACACGAATTTCCTAAATATTAATTACATTTTTTATAATACTATGACTTAAATGTTTTTAAAATAATAGATACGTGGGAAAAGTAACATTTTGACACAATAACATTAAAATAAAGAGTAAATGCATCAAAAACATGATATTTTACATTTTAACTCAATAATATAATAATATTTTTAATCATTTTAAAAAGCAATTTAAATTGTTACAGAATTATAGATATTTTGTACCAAACAAAAAATACCTACATATCATTATTATTTTAAAAATCTATTATATTGTAAAATTATATATACGATTGTATTACATTTTGATTAGTGATCATTAATCATCAACCTCAATAAGAATATTAGTCATCCTTACAAAAATAGTAAATATATGTAATAATGGAGCTAGGATTTATTATACTTGAACCATTTTTACACATTTTTAATATTGATAGATTTTAATATTAATATAATATTAATATTAATATTAATCACTAACATTTCATCAATCAAATCTCCATTGTCTCCATATCTTACAAATCTATTGTMATGGACCTATTATACTTAGTACGAATGTACACAATGTTAAACAACTCATATCAAATTAGTTAGGTCAATATTTACAAAACAATAAATTGTTCTCTAAATACAATAGAAAAAAAGAGAAAAGTAAAATAAACGTTTTTATTTCCACTGGACACTTCTTAAGTAGTACAAAAAAAGTCTTAAGCATTTGAAAACATGATCTTTAAATAAATTCAAAATCTGATTTTCAGATTTTGAATAACTGCATTATAAAAGGAAAATGAGAGGTGTAAGAGAATGTTTTGTGAAATACCCCCTCACATAATATATTATTATGCAAACAAGTTTCAAAGAATTTTTATAAGTAAGAACTTTTAATTTTTTTTAGAAAGCAATTTCGAATATTAAAATTTCAAAGTATAGAGAACTAGAGACAAAGGACAAACAATTATTTTATTTCAATAGAACTCATTTGAAGATACATTTACCTAATTAAAGCTGCTGAATACGACAAAGGTTTGTTTTGTACACGATCAAGTTATAATTTTATATGGCTTTACTCTGCATTCTCTTGAAATTTCACTTAATTAATATAAACTTTTGATTTGGAGAGATATTCAGCATGCTCATGTAAAATATAAAATATATATCATATGATTATGATACCATGAGTTATTATAACAGAGTAGAAATCAAATTTATATTGTTTGAAGTATTAAGTACCAAGACCGTTTATCTACTATTATTTATTATTATTTTTAAATCAAATAGAAGAAAAATGTAGCATACATATAAAAATTCATGTGTACATCAAAACTAAAATGTACAGGTGACATATAGCAATATCATGTTTAATATAGAATACGTGAAAGAAAGTCCTTGTTGTGATGTAATGACAGTTAGGGTCCATATTCTTGGAAATGGCCGTGTTATATATTATATTAGGGTCTAAGGTAGGTATTATAGAAAATTGTGATCGTAAATAGTATTTTTCTGCACGTAAGGGCACGTTTTATGGAGCTCTATAATAATATCATATATAATATAAAAATTGACTGAGACTATAATACAAGGAGAAAAATACTGATTGATATAAAATAAATTCAGAAAACTATTTATTTATTTCATTTGTATAATATGCTAGTATGAAATTCAATAAAATATAGTATATACTTTACTTTATTAGGATAATTTATAAATCCAAAGAATTGGATAAAAGCTCAGATAATATCAAATAATATGTCAATATAATAATATAATGTATATTGTTATTTTATACGAAAAACTAAATTATATTTTAAAATTAAAATAATCATAAAACATATTTATAAAAAATATTTAAAAGTTCAATCATACCGTCGTTTAGTAAATCTGTATGTATAATTAAAATTTTATAATAAATAATTTAAGTTATATATATATAAAGATAAAATAAATTGAATGGTCTTAGATTACTTTGTTCTGGGATAGAATTCATGCTTGTATTTATTTTTATTTATTTATAAGTACAAAACTATTGTTATACAAAACTGAATATTATAAAAGTTTTTAGCAATACGAACCACACTTTATATAATGTTGGATAATCTATTATCCAGAGCGTACTTAGAAATAATAAACGACATCAGCTGTATAGTTTTACTTAACACAAATTAATTTGAAATGTAAATTTCAAAGAAAAAGTTATTAAATCATCAAATGAATATATAACTTGAAAGCCACTACTTAAATAATCAAAAACAACATTGTTTATTGGCTTTTGCTTTGTTATACACAGGTACATAATATTATAACTGTATATGTTTGGGCCATTTATTATTTTATCAGTATCCATGATTTATTACCACTGTGTCTTATTTATTAAGTGCTCCTAAACGGTTTACACTATTTTTTTTTTTTACCGTTGAGCATTAATAAAACAAATTAATCTATATTAAAGTGAAACGCATTACTCTTTAAATAATGTTCATATATTATACAAATAAAACTTGTATTATTTTATACATGTTCTATTGTTAGTAATACCAAAAAAAAAATTTAACAAAATATTAATGTACATTTTTTAATCTATAATGTTAAAGTAGGTATAACTACAAATTAAAACCGACCGTTTGTGATGAAAAATTATGAACATATTTACAAAAATGAGTGTTATTTAAATAAGTGATTATTGTTTAAATGTGATGTTACGTATTATAAATATATTATATAACTGATAAGTGAGATTCTTGTTTATTTTTTTTCTTATAAAATTATTAGGTACATGTGAAAAATATACATCAAAATAAAAAATTCAATGAATTATTTTGATTCAATTATTAGGTATAGATAAACTATTATGTAATAAGAATAGAGTCAATATATATTTATTTATTTTAAATAGAAGAAAAAAGTTTTTAAAACAGTATTGAGGAAGTAAGAGTAGTAAGAGTAAAATTTAGAATAATCAATACTTTTTACAACGCAGTTGAATGTAAAATATACATATTTTCTGTCCCAAGCCTTCGAAAACATAAGCATATGAATGATGACAGAGTATAAAACGAATGTGGCATAATATCAACCATATATAATATTATGCGTATTTGCTTATAAAATACTTTTTTTTACCTTATTCCTTAGATAATATTATGTAATATCCATAATTGATATTGATATATTATTTTCCGTGACGAACAACTTACATCTTTGATATAAAGCGAATTATTTAAAATTCGTTTCAACCACACTGGGTTACCTGATATGTGATTAACATAACGCATAATAATGAATTCTATTACATTAATTTATAATTAAAATATCTAGATCGAACACGGATAATAAGGGTTAGTACATCAATTTTAACTCTCTTGGATTTCTAAATGAAAGTGGAAAGGATATGTTCGGAAAATCAGTTCATTTATAAACAGGAGGAAAGAGTTTTTTTGACACCACCGAAATGGATCGGAGATAAACGAAATGGCCTTTTATATTCGTCCTTTACCATTTCTTTCTTTTTTCTCTCCCACTCGCCCATTTATACTCCTCGCATTCCTATATTCCCTTTCCACACCATCGAGGTCACTGGAATCTTGACGGATTTGTTGTTGTAGGTCTGGAAGAAAATCACCGTGCAGTTAGGGAAGCAATCGGACAGCGGTGTCGGTGGTTCTAGATTGACCGCGTAATGGATGGGAACCGACTGTTTTGCAATTGATGGCTTCCCTCTGACCAATTTCCCTTACCCACCCAAGGTTTTCGGGATAAAAATCTATGACCATTTTTTCTCCACTACCCGTACGCACAATCCCGTAAGTATACGCGATTATGTACACTATTATAAATACAGCTATAGTGCGCGTTTACCTCATCTTCGCCGATCTTCGTGTACGAGGTGGCACAGTCTTCGCACACCTTGAACTTGCACCCGGAGCATACGCGTGAGTAGTCACCATCTTTAAAGCTTTTCAGACAAACTCGGCAGCCACCAGAACGGCATGCTGGTTGTTTGGCCATTTCTGGTTTTGATCTGAAACATTAAACACACATATATTTATTATTATTTATTGTTAATATGCAGTATACTGCGTATAATTACGGGTACTTAAATTCAATTATTTTTCATATATTTCTGTTACGCGATGTATAACTGGAAAGTGCAATAAAATATAGTTTGGTATTAAATTATAAACTTATAAGTAGAATAAAATAAATGATATACAATTTTGCATAGATAGTATGATGCGTCGTGTATAAATTATTTCAATGTTATTTTTTTTATATATATATAAAAGTGAAAACTTAATTTTATTTATTTTTTATTTCTTAATCAATTTTAGCATACCTATATTATTAAAACTTACATTTATATAACCATAGTATACGTGTGTAAACTTTTACAATGATAATTATTTTATATCAACCCTAAAAACATAAGCTTCTAGTAAAATGAAACCCCAACAGAGTATAACCATATTATATTTACATAGGTAGATACCGACTTAATCACCCTTTCCATTAAATAATGTGTTTAGGTAATAGGCACATCTTTTCTCTCTTTTTTTATTTACAAAATTTAAATACGTGTCACTTCTGTATCCACAGTTGCCCTTGCCACCTTGTCATGATATGAATTATTAACAATTTTTTAAGAAAAGGAGAATTTTCTAATCACAAAAATAACGAATAGTATTACAAAATATATAGGGATATATCTATTTAATTTTAATGCTGACAGATGTAACTATTATTTTTTATTGTTGCATTATTGATCCAAATATAATTTCATCTATGGATATTAGTTTAAAATCCTATAGCACAGTATAGTATATAATTCAAAATGTTATAATACTTAACTTAAACTAAGTTGTATAACTTTTTGATTATAAAAATTTGATGATGATTTTCCTCCTGTCGTGGTAAGTGATGTTTGATACTCATATTCTTATATTTTTGGAATTCTATTATTATATGCTTAACCGAGTGAAGTCCACTTTTCACATGCATGATTCATATATGGGTTGAATGGTCTTGAGTCATGAAATGGTTGTAAATTAGAAACGATAGGTAAATTCATATTATGTGATTTATAATAGTTTCATTTACTCTTTTTCAACTTAAGTTTGACAATTTTTGAATGTTGTTTCATCGTTGCATTTAATTTTACCCTTTGGATTATTCAATATTTTTGTAATTTAACATTTAGAACTTGTTGTATATTTTGTTTCTTTTAACCGCATTATACATTTTAATGATTTGAATTAGCGTTTCAAATATTTCAATAGAGATAAACCCTTTGTACGGTTCTTAATTCGCTTTTTGTGTTTTTATCCATTAATTCCGCCCAATAACCTTATTATAAGAAAATGTGTGTACCTATAGTGAAGAATGAATATGTTTTCTTGGATTATATTTGATACATTGATTGGATTTATTGTGAGGCCACTACGTGAGTCAACGAATATTAAAAATTTTGTTATTATATTTTATTTGTTTATTTATAATTTTTGTATTTTACTGATTTGTACAGTTTTACAATGCATGCATTCAAAATGTGTTTAATTTAAATGAACACTATATGTTTGATTTCATTATTATACATACTTATACTATACATAATAATATGTCCATATTATATAGGTATTCACGACGTGTAAAATATTTTTAACATTTGAGTAGTAATACTGTTTGTATTACTATACAGATAATATGTGAATTGGGCATACTTAATGGATAACCAAGCGTGTAAAAATTACATAATATAAAATTAATAATGAACTGCCAGATTTAATTAACATTGTGAGCTGAATAAAAACATATTACACTTACACAGTTGTTTATTAAAYTAGCCTTAAACTATTTTTGTTTGGTAGTCGGATAAAATGCGAAATGCTAAACTTCCATTAATTTATGGTTACTACAGACTATTTACTGTATGCTGTGGGTAAAAAATACCTATAGTGACATAGAATGTCAATGGTGAAACAAAAATAATAATTTTGTTTTAACTAAGTGTAAAAACATGTATTTGACGTTAATTTGATCTTTGAATAAACATTAATACTGTTGAACTGTTTTTGGGTTTACCAAATATTTTAAAATACAACATGGGGAATAAGAAGTATAAGAAATTTAAGAAAAATAATAAATATGTACATTTATGTACATTTATGTAAACTCCGATCACCGTTGTAATAAAATCATAAATCAATAACATTTAAAACATAATAATGCAACCGTAAGTACAAATATCAGAACTTAATATACAACTAAAAAAAAATTTGCGATAGTGTATAAAATAAGAATTAACAAATCACTTTTTACGTGAAACGTGTTCATCGACGTAGATTGATGAAATATTTTTAAGCCAGACATGAATGTAATTATATTATCGTACATTGAAATGTTTGAATAATAATAATAATAATAATCATTATAATATTATCTCTTTTGGCGCTATGGTGATTTGCAGCAAAAGGGGAGAAAAACGGAAATAAATTATTCATACAACCTCAGGGATATAATATAATATATATATACACTATTTAGAGTAATGTCTAAACACTTTTCGACGTTTCTTTGGAAATCAAAGCGGTTTTCAATAAAATAAATTTTCTTTTGAACTAAATTGTATTAATATGTAGGTAATAATATGCGCGCGCKTTACTGTAAAATTCACTATAGGTAGAGGTACACCCTCGATACTCGTAAATTCAACGACTTACCGAAGGATGTACTTTCATAAAGTGTATGTCATCCGCTTTGTGCATGGTTAAACGAATATAAAACATTATATTATAATATATAATTTACTGTATACGATTTGCAGTGACATTATTTTAATAACAGACACATTTTATCACTCATTCCATGTAAATAAAAAAAAAATGTAGGCTCAAAACCTATTATTTATTAGATTGATGGTTAACAATATCAGGAGAATACACTGAATACCTACATCTTTTTGTGGATAATTTGCTTTCAGGATAAGGTGGGTACCCAAAAAAGAGTAGTTGCGACCAGCATACTTTTAAAGTGATGTGTTAGTATTCAATTACATTTCACGTTAAAAAGCAATGAAAAATAATGAATAACTTAATAATCATTAAAAATACTATTAGTGGTGCAGGAGTACCAAACATTCTTTCAGAATCACTTCAACCAGACAACATAAAAAACACAATAACCTTTATAATTAAAATACCAATTTACTCAATATTTTGTGACTTGTAAATTTAACTAGTATATTAATATAAAATTAATATAAGATTAAATTTGAATCTTTGTAAAATTATTGAAGCCATTTATTATATTTATTTATTATACATAATAATAATAAATGGTGTACCTCATTTAAATATTTGAGTACTGTGCTAAATGCTCATATAAAAAAGCACTTAGTTTAAAATATTTATAAAATATGTTTCAATCAAAATATATTTTTTATGTACTTATATTGACGGAATCAATTGGTTCCAAAATCATTCAATATTTTTTTTTACCAAAATTATTGATACAAAAATGATAAATGAGCAAACAATTAACACAATTGTTGTTCAAGGTAATTGAAGGTACTAAATTAAAATTCAATCCAATACATATCTTATAAATGTTATTCATTGTTAGATTTGAATTAAATATAATTTATTAAAATATATCAACTTTTAGATAATGCTGATAAAGATTTTCAGGACACGTCACAGGTTCAGGGTAGGTGCTATACAGTAGACTTGATCCCCTTTCCCTATTATACGTTTTAACTCGCGAACAGAGAAAATAAATGTGTAGCTATTATATGGGTACCAGAATGTCGTATAAATATTTTTCTGGCGTTCCTAGTTTTACAATAACATTGAATCAATAACAATCAACAAAATATTCTAAGCAATGACTTTTTTTTAAATTTTCTTCACTCTTCTCAGAATTTTAATAGCTACTTACGAAGGTTTTAACGCTATACTTAGAGTACTATATATTCAGTGTTTTTAAGGAATGATTCCTTTTTAGAGGAATGAATGAATTAATTAATTCCATTCTTTTTTAAAGGAATAGGAACGTAAATATTATAATTCTTTTGTATAATACCTATGTCCTATAATATATATTATGTAGTATTCGAGATATATTTGAAATAATATTTTGTACACATTATAGGTATGACAATTGTACTTAAAATTAAAATATTTAGGATACCTAATAAAATAATTTTATAAAATATTAATGTAAACTAAGGTAACTAGGAACCAGATAATTTTTAAGAGGAACGAGGAATTGAACGAATTCCTATATAAAAGGAATTTTAACAACACTGTATATGTATATTGTTATAGTTAAAAATTATGTACTTAAACTAAACAAAATTAGGTATTCAATAATTTTTATTTTTAAATAATTTACACATATTTCATTAACTAAAAATAATATTATAACCATACCTTGTATTTATAGCATTACATTAGTGTATTTACATCCATATAAAATTTAGATGTATGCCATCCATACCAATAATGTACAAAATGCCCTAAAAAAACGATGAAATTCAATCGACATAATACCAAAGGTTATTATGCTCTTGAATAAAAAAAATTGAGCCTTCAGCTGAATAACTAAACAAATCATGTACATTGTAATAGGTAGAAGGTACTAAAGAGTAGACAAAAACTGTATAAAACAACTACAGCATTGCGAGAAACGGTAAAACATCTCGCGGTAATGTACGCTGTCTTGACAAAAAAATACAGTGATGTAGTCTGTTTTGACGRAAAAATACAACACTCTATATTATATTCATATACCTTACCTTCATATACCTCGCACAAGTGCACAATCATACTTATTGAGTAAACGAAAAAGTAAATAACACCATCCATGTTTTGCAACTTTCTACACACTCATCGCTAGTTTAGAACGTAGTATACTAGTATCATTGGTATTTGGTTAAATATACATATATATATAATAAATAATATAAATAATATAATATACAATTGTATATTTAATCAATGGTAGTATTATAGCTATGGAACAAAA